TTTGCCTTAGTTTATAAGCTTGGCACTGAGTATTCTTTACAGTTCTGTCCTGGACATATCGTGAGAAGGATTGATTTCTCCGATGATCCGCTCCTACAAGGACGTCTGTTCTCTTATCTCGATACTCAACTCAATCGTCACATGGGTTCTCCAAATTTTGAGCAGATACCAATCAACAGACCTCGTAGTATTGTCCACAACAACAATCGCGACGGTGCAGGCCAACAGTTCATCCAGTCTAATGCTGCTTATAGTTTTAATTCTTTGAACAATGGCTCACCTCCTCCCGCCAACCAGACACAAGGAAGAGGCTTCTTCACTGCACCTGCACGTCGAGTTGTAGATGCTAAATACGTTCGAGAGGTTCCTCCGACTTTCCTTGATCATTGGTCTCAACCACGGTTGTTCTGGAACTCTATTTTGCCTGTCGAACAGCAAATGATCGTGGATGCTCTTCGATTTGAATTGGCGAATGTTGAATCTGTGGAAGTCCGGACAAACTTTATTGGACAAATCAACTTGGTAGATCATGATTTGGCCGTCCGTGTTGCTGGTACCGTCGGAATCGACGCGCCAGCTCCGGACCCGACGTACTATCATGACAACACCACAACGGGCCTTTCAATTTTCAATGATACACTTTCGACTATTGCTGGGCTGAATGCTGGAATCCTGGCTACTTCCAATTCGAGTGATTCTATCTCACAAGCAAGGGATTTGGCTCATTCTCTCATGGGAAAGGGCGCAAATGGAATAGTCATTGCTGAGAAATTGGGAGACGGTGTCAATACCACTTACACTTCTTCCGACGCGGCGCTATTCGATGGGATCATTATCATGGACGGAACACAGGAGTTATTCAATCCAAAAGCTACCTCCCACTCCTCCTTATATCCGCCCCTGCGTCCGCTGAATATTGTTCGGGATGCATTTTATTATGGGAAGGCTATCTATGTAATTAGAGAGGGATCAGTGGCGTTGGATCAAGCGGGTATTGACAAAGACCGGCCAGGTGTGAGGGTTGTTGATCATGTTAACAGTGTATTTGTGGAGTTGTTTGAGAGCGATCTTAAACGGTTTAAGTTCGTTGATAGATATCCAATTGATCAAGATTGGTAGTATAGTCAGTAGCACCATACTTCAAGATCGTTGCGTCTAAATAAATTACCTTTGATGCTTGAGTCGCTGATTGGTTCACCTCACTTCCGCCATTGAAATATCTTTTCCCCCTGCCTCCGGCGACGCCGAGTACACCTATCTCACTGTTTTTGAAGCTAAAATAATCTACCGTGGAGACTGACAAGCGAAAACTTGAAAAGTCTGTTGCCGCCAAACTGGGTTACTCTAAATTTGCAGCAAAAAAAGTGTGTATTGAAAAAGAAATGGCCCGAGTTTGCCAATGAGTACATGCTACAGACGAGGAAAGTAAAGAAGAAATGTGTAGGCATAGATCATGTAATTGAAGCAACGAGTATTATCCGATTTCATCTGGAATTTACCAGACACCGGGAATAATCCTGTATCGTACTTTCTCTTTGTATTCTGCGTAGGCCTTTCCGACCTTGGGGTCGTCAAGAATAAGTTGTTCCTGTTAAAATGACAATGAAAATGATATCGTAAGAAAGAAAGATGTTGTAAATACCTCGATGGGGATCTTGTAGAAGAATGAGAGGAGGACGATGATGAGACTATAGACAGGGAGCCAGGACCAGTATGCAAAGGTACAGAGGACTGCCTGTACGACGAGTAGGCTGGAAACGGCCGAATAAATAATTGAACTGTAAGAATTACCAATATACTTACGAGTAAAGGGGGTGTCGAACATATCCGTAGGGACCGTCCGATACAATCTGGGCTTTCTCTCGGGGCTGGAAGTAGCATGTTAAATTTACATATTCAAAGAGATGTGATTGAAGAGACGCACACCGATGAAATGGAATTGTTTCCCCAAAGTGTTCAAGATCCATTGCTGAACGAGGAACGAAAGCAAGATACCAACGGCCGCAACGGTCCTAATGTTGTTCATAGAGTCGGTTGGATCTTCGCCGTAACCGTGGAGCATCTTGACTTCGGGCAAGTCCATAGCTTCGTATGAAGGTGGTTTCTTCATGCCGTTCAAAGTCAAAAGGACGACGTGGATAACTGCAGGAGCGGCGGTGGCAGTCCAGTGAATGGTGGCGGAAGCTCGGGCGAGCCATTGAGAAGGCATTGCAATGATACGACCGCCTTCAGAGTCTGCTTTGTTAAGGGCTCCGCGGATTTTGGCAACTAGAAACGAAATGAAAAGGGACTCGGAAATATGCGTGCGAAAAATTTAGTCCTCACAAGTATCCGCCAGCCAAGCCACCGTGGCGATGCCAACGACGGTCTCAACTTGCTGAGCCGGAGTGAGATGAAGCCCAGCGATGTATGGCATTGTCAAGGTCCTGCGGGATAGTTGTAGGAGTAGTAAGTTGTATGAGTAAAGCAGAGAGAGCTATCGAGTTGATGTTGAGATCAACGGGTCTGAGTTGGGGGGAGTTTTCCTCCATCTTTTATACTGGACGACACAATTGAAGTCAACCGTATCTGGATCGCTACATCCTTGAAGCGATAGGCTAAACAGCAGTATTTTTACGACGACTTGTCTCCCCTCCTCACTTTCGAAGTTCTTCTTGGCTGCATGTCACCCAAACAGGTGCCGGAATATCTGCTAGATAAGGTTTGGATTTTTGTCAAATCGGCAAATTGATTGATGTGAATATATCCTGTCATGATGATGCGTAGAAAAGAGTTAGTAGGCCAACAGCTTGGAATAATCTTGCTACAAAGATGGGATGGTCCCTAATGACCATATAGAGCAGTTGGATAGACCACTTTCGAACATGACTCATGCGTTATTTGTAGCATTCAATTCAAACGATCATTGCGTACAGAGGGTTGAGTGCACCGAGAATCTGGCTCTTGGAGTTATGACGCTTGAGAGGGAACATATCACATCCTTTTTGAGTTATTCTAGCACAATCCCGAGCTCATGGACTAAAGTTTTAACCTTAATCTTCAGATATCTTAAGCTCTCAAATCGAGCACTGGCAAGGTGAGGGATCTTCAATGCGAACGAGTATTCGCCTGCCTAGCGGCGCAAGATCGAGACTTATTCTTAGAACTACGCATTCCCAGGGCTGTAAAGACATAAAGCGCTTACTGCTCTGCGTTTGAATGATTATACATGTCAGGTGTCGAGCTTAACGATATGTATGAGTAATATCCGTTGGTTTCCTTAACAATTTCTCGAAAACAGAGGTGACAAGGACCAGATAGATTCGGTGGCTGAAGGTCTTGGTGAATGGTCGATTCTTTGGAGCCTTGTGAAAGACTTGGAGCAAGTTGCAAACGACCAATGACCAGTTGACTCCATGTCGCGTGAGCTGAACTTCAGGGTTTCCAAGTAATGGCTAGAGAACCGGTGTACGCACCTACCCCATGGCTTTTCCCAGAACAATCTCCGATGGCTCATGGGGAATCCATAAATATTAATAGAGCATCTTGAGATAGCACTAATTCAAAAGTGCTAAGAATAAGTTCAGCTATTCATAAATAGGATATTTTGTGCCATAAAAACCCAGTCCCATGATCCAAAGAATCATGAGAAGCGTCAGGTTATATTCAAAATCATTGTTTTCCGCGAAGCAAAAGTTTACTGGTTAACTCGAGCATATTGGGATTACTAGGACTTGATCTCAATCTACAGTTAATATTCGCACCTACCAAAGCTGCTCTCAACTTTCGAACGTAGCTCTGATGACTAGAGTCACCGACTCACGCTTCTCGAATATAATTAGAACAGACCGAATTATCCCCTTTTAAGACGCCTAGTAGCATGAGAGATATTACTGTAGATATTTGCACAACAATCAGGCTCAAACTGGGTTTGCAGTTGCCGTGAATCAGTGCCTGGAACCTGACGGAGGAAAAAGCTTTTGCCGATAGACCCAACTCACGTTGCACAAATACTTTCAAAGGCCCCACAATGACAGAATTTCAACAAGCACTTACCTTGCCTCACACCACGTCAAAGCAGATTTACTTGACTAGTTCGAGTGTTTTACAACCCAGATATTTATTCCAGGAGCCTATGACTCCAATCTATTCTTATCGGCGGATAAGTATAGTGCCAATGAGCCACCGCATCAATCTCAAAACAAATAAAAGAAGAACTTCCACCTCCATAAATCGACACAATCCACCTCTCAAACGAGGATTCAAAGCCCCCATGTACGACCTAGCCTGGGTGGAATGACGAATCTTTGAATGAATCCACCCGGCATCAAATCACCCGCGCAGCAATAGAAGAACTTCCGCCCAACATTCCGTGACCACGGGGGACATAACAGCTCTTTTTACGCGGTGGATAGTAACAGTCATGGGCAGATGGGGGATCTGCATTTTCGCTCGTGGTCTCACGAGGCACGAAAACTCGAGATCGCCGTCGAGATGGGAGCGGGAAAAGTACAGCGGTCGGAGACGATTCCAAAGGAAATGATGGTGCGAATGGCAGAGTGGGCGGCGAGGTTGGAAGACCCTGAGCCTGGGCAGAAATTATGCAGCAGTGCTCAAATGTCTGCAGGCAGATGGCAAAATGGCAGCCTCCTGGAATCTACTCCTAGTCTTCAACTCGAAGCCAGTTCAGGAGTAATGCCCTATTGTTAGACCCAGTCTTCAGATAGCCTGAGATACATTTCTCAAGAGAGGACTAGTGGAAATGAACAACCGCGGTTCACACTTCAATCTCCTCAGTGATGATAGGACTTTCAGCGACCGAAGTACTTCACTTTGCAGAAGTACTTCTCCCTACAACTGTGAGAAAAATATGACTACACAGTTCACATGTCCCTGTTTATTTACGTCTTTGACTTTGCGATAAGCCCAGGTGTCTACGTCCATAGACAGAGCTTACCCCCCGAATCGCTAAGCTAGGTATGCCACCTGAGAATCGAGAGTAGGAGGAATCACGCAAAAAGAGGTCTAACCAGGATTCGAACCTGGGTTATGGGAAGATTTAGCTTCAAAATCCCATGTGCTAACCACTACAGCATTGATGACCTTTCAAATTCAATCAAACGGAACACAGCTCGCTGGCTGCGCTCTCAGATTGACTCGTTCTCGCGCTTGGGGCTTTTGCGAGACCGCTGGGAACCAACTGATCCTGAGAAGGACATCGAACCATCCTCACCTACTCTACACTTGCGTCACTACCTTCACCGTGTCTCTAATCATCGTCATCGTCAGACTCTGACACGTCTCTTGTGTGGTAATCTGGTGCCTATAATTTTCCGAACCGCTCCTGGTAGGCTGCCTCGAGATGGAGATGAATGGACAGCCCTGCGCTGTCGCGCTTGCTTGTCCTGCTATGAGCGACCGGAACACGTTCTCTTCCAATGCTCGAAAGTTCCTGAAATTAGCGCCGTGCGGACGTCATTTCTGACTTCTGTAAACCTTATTGCCACGAGCCTTCGGACAGATCAGCACGCACTGGAGCTTCTCAAGGCTCTGATCTTCTCATGGAATTTGGTTATCCCCACATCAAAATTTATCAACGACATCGTGATCATTTGGAAGAGGTTGGAAGCTCTGAGATTTGAGAATGAGGAATCTGAATCTGAAGTGGAGTAATTTCTCGGTTTCTTAGTTTCTGAATTACTAGTAATTACTAGTACCACACTACGGTATCTGATACTACCTATCTACGTACCTCGTAGTGTACCCAGTCCCTGGCCGGGCTCGTAGTCTACTGCGCGATTGCTCTTGCTTGGCCTTGAGACTCCGGCTGTGCCGTTTCTGGCACCACTCCGGGTTCAACATCCTGGAGGAGCCGTGTAACCTACCTACCTACCTACCTATTAGACCATGTCATGTCTTAGTGAAAGAGGTAATATTCACAACGTCGTCAACTTTTCTATCTTACCGAATCGTTAAATTTTTTTATCCAGAACTCCCATCCTCCACTCGTTTACCATCCCGCTCTTTACAGAATCACTCGGTATCGGTACTATCCCAAGTGACGGGAAAATGGTAGAGAAGATAATTGGGTCCGGTATTGGTCTAGGTCCACCACCGTCTACAGCCAGACATCGAATCGCTTCTCATCCCTCTAAACTACCTATTCCGCCATCTTCAAAAATACCCCGCAATGCGACTGTGTCAACCGCTTGTCGGGTCAGGCAAGAATACCCCAAGCAGTCGGCGTCTCGCCGTGTTCCAGACAGGTCGAATGGCTTTCCTTCAATTTCAAGCTCGCCCAACCTGAATACTTCGAGACTACCTACACGTATACCCAGCCCTACTCGTTTGACTGCTCCGAGAACGATTTTGGTGCCGCGTTCATCTATTCCTGCAGCAACATCCATGCCGACTTTAGCGACTTCTAACAAGGTCCCCATCGGTATAGCAAATATGGTCAACAAACATTGTGTAAATACACCCATAACCTCTCAAGGCCACGTCTCGTCACGGACTAGTTCATGCGCTCCTGAATCTTCCCGCTTACAGGAACCACGTCATGCAAGTCACCGACGTGCAGTGTCAGCTCATCTCGCTACTCCTGCTGTTCCTGCCCAATCTCATTATCTAGAGAATACAAGACACCGAGCCGTTTCCTCTACAAGTGTTCTACCTATACCTGCATCCCATGTTCCTATTCCTACCAGAACCACAGAATCTGCTATATCCAACAACACTATCACTCGGCAGCTGAGCCCTTCTTCAGCGCTTCAAGGACACATTCTTCATCACCAGCTCCAATCTGGCCATGAGCTCACTCGGTCAAGTCTCGAACTACAAGCCCAATCTCGGCCTTCACGACCCTCTCAGTCACCCGAGCCAGTACCAGAATCCCGGCGTTTCAACAAACCACACCCCACTATCATCTTACAGCATTTACAGATTCTTGTCAAAGACACCAACTACTGTGGTCAAGCCCAAGCCCAAGCCCAAGTCCTATCGCTGGATGCGGACGAACTCATCGCTGTTCACGAACAGGAACAAATGGAGAAGGAAGGGATGATGAAAGAAGTGTATAGAGAGATGCTGAGCTGGGAACGCTGGAGAGAGGAAGAAGACGGATCGCATGCTAGCGCAAGCGATGGTGGCAGTTTGAAGAAAGGGCGACTAGGTGAGCTCCACTCGTTTCAAAACGAGAATACAGGTCTGACCTATACTCGTACGCCGACAGCCGTGTTTGCTCAGCCTCTCCGACAAATCGCTTTATACGCCTCTACAAAAGCCGTCTCCAAGGTTGACGCTTCTCACGACACTGGCTGCAATGACTTTGATCGTGTGCATGAAGGGTCAGAAGAAGTAGGCTATGAACACGATCTTCCGATTCTTGTATGCAAGTGTGTACAGGAACTTTCGAGTCGGGGCGAAGCCGCGGTTTCTGCGCTCTTGGACATACCCTACTCGACGTCAGGGCTAGAAGAAAAGCGTGCCGAGGCCTCCTCAAGACTCGGAGCTCTCGTTGATATCTTCGACTCTTCGTCGCATTATCATAAGTTTGGCATTAACACCTCCCTTGCCAGCGAGACTACGGAGGATGTTTGGGGACTGTTAGAAGGTTTCATGAGCGAGCTACCGGAAGCCGTGGTTGGTTCTACCCAACTTGATTTGGGAAAGCGTGATGCCAGTGGACATCCTAACATTTCGGATCTCAACTCAAGCGGGAACGGGATCACCAGAGCGTTGTGGGAGTGCTGTGTCAATAACGGGGACGGCCCTGCAAAGCGAGTGCAGATGATAGCTCGGTTACTCCTTCGTCTTCTTCCGTCCGCAAACTTGTCCTTGTTTGCGTACTTGATGGGTTTTGTATGTTGGGTTGTAGAGTGTAGGCTTGGGGTACTACTGAGTGAAACCGAAAACGGGATTCTGCAGAAGGACAGGAGAGTGTTGGAATTTGTGAGGACATTCGGGAAGTGGATGTTCAGGCCCGTTGCGTGTCCTAGCAGTGGACTGGATGCGCACAGAGATCTAGGGCATGAAGTAGTCGTGATGATGGTATGGTTTATGCGGCACTGGGATATGATTGAGAATGGTTTGTTCGATGAAATCGAGGAGATCAAGGAAGCCATCGAAACTGAAACTACTCCGCGCGTCAGTTCCGAATTCGTTGGCATTTCTTTGGGCTATGGGAGGAACGGTGGGGATGCCGGAGGTGGTGACGTCACCAAACGGAGGGACAGCGACCTGTTGAGCTTGTGCTCGACCACCTCTTCTGCTCGTGCGTGCTGATTATCTCGGATACACTTTTGCAATCTGACTCTTCCCCTCATACAGTTGGTGAACGACTCGTCGAAGCTTCCGACGTTGACAGCGACATCAAAGCGTCCTTTTCACAATTGCGTCTCACAGATATATCCATGTCCAGTCTTCCACCATCTTCGGCAGTAGACGGTGCTCCTCCCGGCTTAGATGTTCTTATAACGGAGTCTAGAACCGTCACCGATGTTGCTGCTTTCCACACTCCAACGAACGAGCTAAGATCTCGGAGACGACTGAGGGTTACCAATCGCGCAGCAACGGATGACATCGACTACGATGACGCAGAAGATAGTGCTTCGACCTTGTCATCTCGTGCAACCTCGGTTTTTCTGTCGGATTCCGTCTCCCGATCACCAAGTACAGAATCTTCATCACCGGTCCATTGGACCATGACAGAATCCCCTCTTCCCTCTCCTTTTGACCCGTTACCTTCTCCTTACGATAGGACTCAGATGGCAGATGATTATCAACACCGGGAGACGAAGCGTGTTTTGTGTGAAGAGTGTTCAGCAGGATGTGCGGCACATACATATATCAAGGATCTGGAGAAGAGATTGCGAGAATTGGAGGAGGTCTTGAGGTTGAGGGATATTGGTGCTAAAGTCAGGCGTCGTCAACTAGATTAGACTTATGACAGTAAAAGAATGCCTATGCCCATAACTATCATAACTTCAATGTGAACATACTGCGATGAATCTATGTCTCCTCAATTCTACTCATATCCATCCTCAAACAAATATGCCGTCGATCTTGGTACCAATGACTTCAAATTGGATATACGCATGTGTATCGTCAGCTTCGCCGAACTTCGTAAAAATAGACAGACTTCACTTGTTAATAGCACTAACTCAACAATCACTGTTCAATACTGAGCTCTGGGGACAGCGACATCTATTCGAGCTCGTAATAACATCTGAACACGTCCTGATTTGTGTTTTCGCTGCGTCTTTGGCAAGTTTATCCGCGCGCTGGTTTCCTTCAATGCCAACATGTGCGGGAATCCATGAAACTTCGACAGTAGCTTCGAGATTTCGAACTAAGAACTCTGAAACTAGCCCATAAAAGTCTGCAGCTTTATTTGGGTCACAGATCCCTTTCACCGCAGAATTACTGTCAGAGAAAAAGTGCCAGTGTTTGATGCCAGAACGCCTCGAGGTAAACGCGGCTGCTTGGTTCGACGCCCAATTTAGCGCCGTCCTTTCGATAAGATTATTATCGATTGATGTAGTCGTCGTCAAGGGCGCTGAACATGCGAATACTTCCTTATTCTTCCATAAACCTACGAATCCGATACCTGCTTTGAACATGATCAGGGAGCCATCTGTGTAAATAACGAGATGCTCAGGTGAAAAATAGCTGTCCAGCCTGGCTTTAAACTCAATTGCTCTCTCTTTTCTGCAGAGGTTCGTTAATTTGCTGACTTCAGGAGCACTCCAAATTTTGAGTCGACCTCCAAAGTCTTCTTTCGTCGGAAGGTGTGAAATCCGCTGATTCAACTCAGATGTAGGAGCGGCTTCAAGGAGAGTTTTCAATGGTTGGCTGGGCTGACTATGATATCGAGAGCTGACGATGCGAACGATTTCAGTAATAGGCCTAGATTTCTAGACGTGAGAAATGGCAATCTGACCTCGTAGTAAGATGTCTCTCAAAAGTAAGACCAATTAACGACAGTTGGGCGAGAAAAACAGACATGGTGGAAGGCAAGTCTATCTTGGTATACTTCAAGTTACATATATCACACTTAAGCTTACCAAGAATGGCCCGATTCTTCAGCGTTAGTGAGTTGACTTT